TCCTTTTGGGATTGGATATAAGAGCCAGCTTTTTCGACCTTAATCACTCGATTCTCCTGGCAGACTCCTTCAATTTTGGATTGGCTCCACTTTATCTTCATATTAACCGATCATAACCTTTTTTTATGGATTTGGCATTTGTTTGCTCTTCCAGAGGCTTAATTCTCTTCGCCGCTTCCGAGGAAATAGAGCGAATGCCTTATCCTTCTGGGCATTAGGTTGCTGTTCGCACTTGTTTCCCTAGTTCATGTTGGCCAGTTTCCAGCTTTGTGCCCTAGATAGCAATGTCTTTGCTAACTGTTTCTACCAATCTTGTTATTATTAGCCTCTTCGTTCTCCAGAATTCTAATTTGGCCATGTTGGTCTCACTCTTGGGTTCATACTCGGAATTTCAGTTTGATAGTGCTATTTCCCGGTGGTCCTTAAACTCAGATCCAATTGTCTACGTGCTGGTAGCGATTCTGAGGAAGTACCCGTTCACACGAATTGTCTAAAGAGTTTTCCACTCCGATTGAGACACCTCCAGAGCAGCATATTCTGGCAGCGAAACTCGTTGATTACACTTTTTTTGTTAATGTGTGGGATGAAAATGAGGTCATTGGGTTCCACTTCAGGGATGTATGGCAGATGACTCAACAATACAATTTGTTGGTATATCAAATCAAATAGTCTATAGTTTCAGCTGATTTCTTTTTTCGTACTATGTGATTCATGCGGGAAAGTCGCCACATCACCAGTTATGCTATTTGTTTCAAAGTGTTTCTTCCACGAACAAGTTTCGTTAGATACAAATATCGATATGTTGGGTACGCTTTTAAGCCGAAAAAGAATCTACTAAAAATTATAAATATTGGGCTACCCTAAAACCTCCTATAACCAGAAACCCTATAATTCTGTATTTTGGTACGTTTGGCTCTAAATTGAGTTTTATACCCTTCACCATAGAGTGGAGTGTAATAATAAAATTCGATGCTGATTTATGCATGACTGTCTGTATGTTGAAATCACTGTAGAGCTCGCAATATTTAGAAATAGAGTTTTGGAATATATTGGTCTACGTTATGGTATGGTATATAAATGTACCCCGAAATGTTCAGTATTTATTTAAGGGGTTTTTGGCCAGTTTTTCAATAATAGGTACAATTTTTTACGATGGCCCCCATATGACGGTACCTCCAAATTTCGATATTTAACATTTTTTAGAGAAGCTTCCACCCAAAAATGATCTTTTCGGTATAGTCCCTATATAAGAAAAGTATTTTGAGGACATCGGTATGTGCAAGGTCCTAGCCCAATTTTTCGAACTGACAATCTGTAGTTTGATATTTCATTTTTTTAGAAGCAGCAATTGCATTCATATAAACGTAATTTATATAAAATTATATATGGACTTACCTTTGGTATTCATGTCGCTGTTTCTTCACTCTAAATTGTGACCATTTCTCCTAGAACTAGCGTGGGGCTGGCAGATGCCACAATAAGCAGTATTTGTTAGCATTCACCTGGTATACAGATGTATAATTACTGAAAGTAGAAGAGATATTACAATTAACCCTTTTTCTCTTCGTTAGATGCGGAATAATGTTATATTTAAAGATTAATCTAGTAACTAGTACGATATCGACGTCTTGTAAGAAGATTTCAACCCTCCTCTTACTAAACCCGAAGCTCGACAATTATACAGAATAATCTGCCCAATAATCACCATTTTCCGCTGATATCTATTTTTGTTCCTAGAGCAGGAGGGTGCAGTTCTCACATGCAAAAAAGCAGTAATCTTGGTGTCCACCTCACTAATCGTCCAAGTAAAGCCCCCCATATAAAGTGAACGCCCTATTTTCGGTATTGCGAAGGTTTTAAATGCATTCTCTCGCCGATGTGGCTATAAATTGGCATTCAGGGATTATGTTCAACTTTGCAGAATATTTTCGTTATCGGTCCATGTATTACCCCCCTATATATAAATACATGTATGTCTAAGCATTTTGAGGGTTTTAATCGAAATTGCACATCGTAGTGGCTGTAATTTGATCCTCCAGGATGCAAATCCAAGCTCACGAGCATTTTTGATATGGAAATTGAATGGGAGTTTACTAGAAATTTCCCATCGAAATGTCGCCAATTTCGAATTCCGGATTCTTGAATGGTGCAGAATCTCTCTGCAAAACATTTTCGATATAAGATTATATTTTGGTATAGCCATCACAAAAACATCCTGCCCTGATTTGAAGGTCTTAATCACATTTTTCACACAAAAGTCAGGGTCCATTTGACCCGCTAAATATTGACCGATCTTTATCAAAACAGGCATGCTTATTTTTTGGCCCGATCCCCATTCTCCATGTAAAATTTCACGATTTTCGGGCCATGATTGCTGTCCCTAGAGCGACCAGAAAAAACGACAAAAATTAAGTATTTGGTCCGTGTCATCTCCTAAATATTTACCGATCTTTACCAAAAACAATAGGGCTCTGCATTGGCCTGAACCCATCCTACATGCAAAATTTTGTGAAGATTGGTCCATTACTGTGGCCTGTATCGTGTTTGCAAATTATAATGGCTCAGCTAGTCGAGATATGACTTAATATGGGTCTAGGACTAATATTTCGCGGCTTTACAAACTCTTGGGGCTTCACAAGGCTATAATACCCTGAGAACATAGTTATCTAGGGTACAAAAACATTATCATGTCCCTGAGGATGATTTTCATCAGGACCATAAAGAAGAGGGGATATACGTAAAAGTGGTGTCATTATTTCTTACTTCGAGGAAAAATTAACTATTGAAACAAATTCCTCACGTCCCTGAGGTTCATCAGAACTCTTTCTTATATTGAAAAAAAATCAGGACTCTCTTTTTCTATATTTTATGTAATAACAAGATCAGGTCTCGGAGGACTCTTTTTTCTATAGAAAAAAATCAGCGGGACCATTAAGAAAAGTGGGATTAACTTAAAAGTCAAACAATTGTTTCTTACTTCGAGTAAAAAACTAAACGAATTCCTCAGGTCCCGGAGGACTCTTTTTCTATAAAAAAATAAAGAAACTTGGGGTTCCTGAGGACTTATTTTCAACACATTTTCATACCTTGAGAACAAATGAACTGCAGAAACTAATTCTTCAGGTTCCTGAGACTTTTTTATAAAAAAAAACATGTGGTTTCTGAGGAATCTTTCTTTTATAGAAAACACATCATGAGGATCCTCAGTGCTCTTCCTAATACAGAAAATAATCTGCAGGCCCCCGAGTACTCTTTTTAAAAGCTATTTTGTAGAAAACACATTAGACCACTGAGGACTCTTTTTATCTATAAAAAAATTATAAAGAGGATCATTTTTTCTTTAGGAAAACTTTGTGGTTCCTGGGGAATCTTTCTTTTTTTGAAGTTATGAGATTTCTGAGGACCATTCCTACTCTAAAAAAGCAATCAGCAGGTCCCCTAGTACGTATTTTTTTACTATTTTCAAATGTAAAAAAACTTAATTAGGTCTCTGAGGACAATTCTTGCTATACAAAAAAGTCATCAGGACCATAAAGAATAGAGAGGTTTTACTTCAAGTGCAACATTTGTTTCTTACTTCGAGGACAAATAAACTACTAGATCAGGTCCCAGAGAACTCTTTCTTTTCTATACAAAAATTATGAGATTCTTGAGAACTCATTTTTCTTTAGAAAAGAACTCATGAGGTTTATGTGTACCCATTTTTAAAACTTTTTATACAGACTCCTGAAAGCTTATTTTTCTACAAAACAATACCTCAGGATATTTGGGTATTTTTTCTAGAGAAAAAAATCCTCAGGTTCGGCGACAACGCTTTTTCTACACAAAAAATTCCTCAGGTTACTGAGAATTCACTTTTTTCTATAGAAATACTTCTACAGGCCCATATGGTGTGGGATTTCCATTTTCGATATCTTTTTATACCCTACACAACTATGTTGTCAGGGTATTATAGCTTTGTGCAGCCCCAAAAGTTTGTAACGCCACGAAATATTGGTCCTAGACCAACCTTTAAGTATACCGATCGTCATATCTCGACTAGCTGAGTCGATCTAGACATGTGTGTCCGTCCGTCCGTCTGTTCATTATAATTTGTAAACACGATACAGGCCACAGTTATGGACCAATCTTCACGAAATTTTGCATGTAGGGTTGGTTCTTGCCAATGAAGACCCCTATTGTTTTTGGAAAAGATCGGTTAATATTTAGGGAATGAAATGGACCAAAAACTTTATTTTTGTCGGTTTTTCTGGTCGCTTCAGAGGCCGCAATTATGGCTCAAACACCGCGAATTTTTGCATGGAGAAGGGGATCGGGCCAAAGAATAAGCATTCCTGTTTTAATAAAGATCGGTCAATATTTAGCGGGTCAAATGGACCCTAACTTTTGTGTGAAAAATGACAAAATTTGTATTCTATAGCGTATATATTTACCACTAAAGGACATATACCCGAGAAGTTGATAGTATATCAAAGGGGAGTGGTTGACCTTTAAATTGATACCAATTATATTGTCGTAGGTACTCGGATAGGGGAGTTACACTTATATATTTACAGGTGCTTACGTATTCAGATATTATTTAGTAACACATTACCACACTAGAGGGCGTAAATATAGCGCTGATCGCGCTATATTTTCCAAGTATGGTCAAGGACAACGCCTGTAATTTTCGATGATAATCAGATAATAATTTGGGATGAAGTGGACCGAAAATTAATTTTTTTGTGTTTTTGAAGTCGATCTATAGCCACAATTGAAAGCTGAACGTCACAAAACAACCCACGGTGAAGGGAATCTGCACAAGTAATTAGAAGGGCTGTACTGAATATTAGTCATATTTGTTGACCTCTAGACGGCCAAGAGGGTGCAAATATCGCGAAATATTGCCAAAGCTCAGAATATAGAACCACAGAATGTTACATTTTCGTGGAAGTTGTGTAGGGTATCATATGGTCGGCCCCGTCCGACTATACTGCTCCGCTCACTAGTTTATTCTTAAGATGGAGTATATTACCTTATAATCCTAATATAAAATATATTTCCAGTTGGTATGCCATTACTCAATTCCAACGCATTGATGCCCGCACTGGGTTCCCATGTTTCGATGAGCCGCAATTCAAAGCCACCTATCGTATGCGTATTACCCGGCCCAAGGAGTATTTATCGTTCTTCAATACTAGGCTTTTAAATACTAAAGTTGACAGGTAAGTAATCTACATCCCTTTTCCTATAAACATATTTACAAAGTTTTGAATTTCAGTGATGGTCGTTATACGGACTATTTCGATGTAACCCCACCGATGTCAACATATTTGGTAGCATTTGTTGTGGGTGATTTCGAAGCTGTGGGTGATGATGATTTCAAATTGATAATCCATCCATCATTGAGAAATAAAACGACATATTCGACAGATGTTGCTCTGAAAACATTGGCAGCCTTTGACAAATATACTCAGTTGCCCTATAAGACTTTGGGTAATACTCTGATGCAAAAGGCGGGTTCAATGCGTTTTCCTCACAATGGCATGGAGAATTGGGGTCTGGTGATATATCAGTGAGTAAAAGAATTTTGATTAAAATTTAATAAAAAAAGAAACAATAACAAAAATATCGATGTAATTGGATCTCTGATTCCCTGTTTCTTCAATCGGAGAATTTTTCTTTCCCGATTTTCATAGAAGAAATATTAGGTCCCTGGTCTTTCAGGGCTGCCTTTCTTTTAGTATTTAACATAAATTGTTATATTTTTACTTCCAGCGACTCAGTTCTATACCATGAACCCGGCTACACAGACGGCTGGTCGGACAAGGAATTTACGGTGACTATTTTGTTCCACGAGACGTCGCACATGTGGTTCGGCAACAGTGTCACCTTTAAATGGTGGAGTTACTTTTGGCTAAATGAGGCCTTCGCTCGTTATTATCAATATTTCTTGGCTCACGAAGTAAGTCATCCCCTTGGGGAGTATTCCGAAATTTTGTAAAATCTTTATTTTTTCGTTTAGGCTTACCCCGAATTCGAATTGGACAAACAATTTTTTGTCAATCAAATTCATTTGATATTTGGTACCGATGCTGCCCGAAGTACCCAACCATTGACTAGTCCCGAAGAAACCATAAATAGTCCTTCTGATTTGGCGTATAAATTTAGTGGCATAACATATGCTAAGGGAGCTGCTATCCTGCGCATGATCAGCAATTTGATGGGAAAATCTAACTTCGATAGTTCAATTAGGGAATATTTGAAAGAGAAGTAAGTATTGGGTGGGAAATTTCGAAAGGATCAGAAAAAAGAGCCCTTAGATTACTAAGGAATATTTTTCTATAGAAAAAAGAGCCCTTAGAGCACTTAGGAATTGTTTCCTATAGAAAAAAGAGTCCTCAGTGTACTGACGAATTTTTTTCTATAGAAAAAAGAATCCTCAGTGTACTGAGGAATTTTTTTCTATAGAAAAAAGAGTCCTCAGTGTACTGAGGAATTTTTTTCTATAGAAAAACGAGTCCTCAGTGTACTGAGGAATTTTTTTCTATAGAAAAAAGAGTCCTCAGTGTACTGAGGAATTTTTTTTCTCTAGAGAAAAAAATTCTAGAGAAAAAAAATTCCTCAGTACACTGAGGACTCTTTTTCTATAGAAAATAGAGTCCTCAGCGTGCTGAGGAATTTTTCTCTTTTGAAAAAAGAGTCCTCAGCGTACTGAGGAATTTTTTATAGAGGATTGTTGAGGATGGTTTTTCTACAGAAAAAAAATAAAAAAGGTGTCCTCAGTGAATTGAAGAACTTTTTCTTCGGTCCGCCAGTACTATTTTTCTATATTTTCCAATTTTGTTGTATAATTTTAGTCACCTGAAAAACGTAGTTCCTGCTGATCTTTTCAAACATTGGAAACAACATTGGCCCCAGGACCAAGAAGTCAATTTAGATCAATTGTTTAATGATTGGACAGAGCAGCCAGGATTCCCTATGGTTACCATTTCCACCACCAAATCGGGACGGTATCTTTTGAAACAACAACGATTCCTGCTTGATCCCGAAGATGGCAGTGATACCACCCTAAAATATACCATACCCATTACCTATACCAACGACAATAAGACGAATTTTGAGGATCTCACTCCGAAATTCTATTTCAATAAAACCCAAAATGAAGTCGAATTTGGAAATTCCACAGCCGATAAATGGATTATTTTGAATTTACAACAATCCAATTATTATAGAGTTTTTTATGAAGCCGACCTCTTGGAGAGAATACAGAAGGCTTTATTGGAACGTGAGCACAGTGGTATCCATGTCAGTAATCGTGCCCATCTCGTGGATGATTTGTTCACGTATGGACGCATAGGTCTTATGGGTTATGATGAGGTGTTCGCCTTCATGGAATATTTGGGGGGTGAAGTTGAATATTTAGCCTGGAATCCGGCATTTAAGGCATTCAATCTCCTCAGCCAGAGATTTACTTTGGCACAACACGAAAAATTTGGTAACTTTTTATTCGAGATCATGTGGGCAGTTTATTCTAGGTTGGGTTTTGAAAATCCCCAAGATACGGTATTGGATGTATACAACCGCAATAAGGTTATCTCTTGGATGTGCAAATATCATCATGAAGATTGTACCCGCAGGGCCCAACAATTATTTAAATCATGGGAACCCGCTCAGGTGCCAGTTGATTTCCAGGAAACTCTTTATTGTGCTGCCAATCGCGATGCTACCTTTGATATTTATCTTGAACTCAAGGAAATGTTCGAAGGAACCTTATTCCAACCTCAAAAGGAGAAAATCTTAAGGGCTATGGGTTGTACACGGCATTATGTCGATTTTCATTATGCCTATATTTTGAGTGATGGCGTACCACAGTCGATGAAGACCGCGGCCATTAGTGCCTTGTACAGTCAAACACCGCAAAATGTGGAACCTGTATTTTACGCGATCACCGAAACCGTGGAAGTTTTGGCTGCAATGTAAGTCCGCCTAATCAATTTACTCACTATTTTAAAATTCTTTCAATTTTATTCTTATTTCTCCCTCTCTCAGTTTGGACAGCTGGTCATCAACGGCCCAGGTGATCAGTGGCATTGCCAACTACTTCACCACTCAACATGAATTGGAATTGCTAAAGGAATTCATTGATACCAAGGGACATTTGTTTGGCAGCTCCGTTACGACCCTAGAGACTGCAGTAAAGACGGTGGAATCAAATTTGGCGTGGTCCGAAAAACACTTAGGAAAACTATTCGACTATTTAGAGAATCGTAATTCTGGTGGTTCGATCCTAAGCATACCATCCTTACTTTTGCCAATTGCATTAATTATTTTATTGAATAAATTCTGGTAAAATGGGATTCAATCTTAATACTGATTTTCTTAAATAATTAAATGCTGAAGATATTTGAAATGATATTTTTTATACTCGTTAGCTACACGCTGGAGATGATTTTTTACAGAAACCACATTTATGACGTATGACGTTTTTGTTATACCCTTCACCACACTGTGGTACAGGGTATTATGTCTTTGTGCATATGGCAGGCAAAATAATCGAGATAGACCCATGGTTCCTTTTGAGAATATGCATAGAATCACTTTCTGGGTCAATTTATGCATGTCCGTCCGTCAGTCTGTCCATGTTAAATGTTAAACAAAGTACAGGTCGTATTTATGATCCGAATTGGATGAAATTTGGTACAGCTCATTTGTTTGGCCTAAGGACGAACCCTATTGGGAAAAATCGATTCAGATTTAGATATAGCTCCCATATATATTTTCGTCCGGTTTTAGGTAAGAGGTGTACCAAAATCCGTACTGCATTAAGTCTAGAATGATGTGTGCAAAGTTTCGTGAAAATCAGTTCAGATTTAGATATAGCTCCCATATATATCTTCGTCTGATTTAAGCTAAATGGTGTATCATAGTCCCCATATATCTTTCGATTTGCACGAAATTTGACATAGCGTACTCCCATATATATTTTCGCCCGATTTTAGGTAAGTGGTGCACCTAAGTCGCTGCAAATCTTTTCATTTGCACGAATTTTGGCATAGTGTACTGAATTAAGTCTAAAATGATGGGTGAAAATCGGTGCAAATTTAGATATAGCTCCGATATATATATATATATATATATTCATCCGATTTTAGGTAATTGGTGCACAAAAGTCTGTGAAAATCATTCGATTTGCACGAAATTTGTCATAGCGCACTGAATTAAGTCTAGAATGACGTGTGAAAATCGGTTCAGATTTTATTTAATTGGTGCAATTTTGGTAAAGGTTCAGTACCCTTCTAGAATGATGTTGCTAAGCTTCGTGAAAAATCAATAGCTAGGCCTATTGGCACAACGTACTGAATTAATATAAAATAGTCTCTAACAAGTTTCGCTGAAATCGGTTCAGATATAGATATATAACAAACACGCGACGTCTGTTAGTATGCATATGTAGAATATACCCAAAACTAACTAACTAATGAACTATTGGTTCTATTTTGGTAGCTACTCCTTTGTATTTAACATTTTAATATTGAAATCTGTTTTCCGTTGGTTACCTGAAGAATATAATTTTTTACAGAAACCCCACTTTGGTTCCATAAGTTGAGCTTAAAAAAGATTTCCAATTTGACCATGTTCGGCAATATTATCTTCCACTTGATCTTCCACTTCTCTCAACACTCTAAGAGCTGCCTTATCTGCTTGCGTTAGTACCTTCAGATCCATATAACAGCACGGGTAGTATTAGCGTCTTATAGAGTATGAGTTTGGTCTGACCTTGTTTCTGAATTGCATACTGAGGCCATAGTTGCATCTGTTGGCCAACACTATTTTCCTCCGGATTTCAACGCTGATGTTATAAGTTTTGTTTATGGCTGTGCCGAGGTATATAAAATGGTAGCTTTATAATCGTCGCTGTACTTTTCAAGTTCCACAGTTGGTTCGAGTCTAATGGACGTCTTGTGTGTTGATACCATCCTTCTTAATTTGTTCAATGGTGGCTGTTACAGCTCTCAATGTTCGACTTATTATGTCGATGTGATCGGCGCAGGCTTTATTTATCTTCAGCCAATCGATTCCTATTCTGACCTCATCTTGGCTAGGTGATATACACTCTATACCGCCAAATATTATTGGTTCTGGGGTATCCTCTTCATCGCCACTATTTGATACCAGACAACAATATATTTCCAATCGGATAATCTTATTATAGCCACATAAGAAAAAAACTTCCATAATTGCTATGAATCTACACAATCACTATCTTATCAGGACTAATATTTAGCACACATTATATGACCCACTTTATTGTATGAAATTAGGAGACGACATAGAGGGTGTTTCTGAGTCAAGGCCCTACATTAAAAAAATATTTTATAAAGTACGACAATTAGAAAAAAAAATACCAGAAAAATTTTACAACAAATTATAAAGGTGTGCTATGTACAGCACACAAAAAGTGGCGCCCAACCAAAATTATCTAAAAACGTTATGGACCCATGGAGACTTTCATCCTCTGGGAATATTAAAAAGCAAATGATGGTGGCGGCGTTGAGGCCTGTTAGTAATAACGCGTTGTTATTGACTAGCTAACTCCATAAGTTGCTTCTAAGGTTAGACGACAAGTGATTCTGCTGTGGTTCATGCAATCACAGAGGATCGCGGTGTTCGCTGAGAATCGGTTGTCGTTAACAAATACGTTAACATATTCCAATGGGAGAGAATGTCAAGCAAGGAGAGCAAAACAACAACAACCACCGCTTGGTGGCATCTGCACTCTACGGTCTGCTCTGAAGGAACGTATCAATCTTATACACCTCATTAATCTAATTGAGTGGAGCCATTAGTCCAAACATTTTGATACATCCTTCCAAAAGAGGTCAAACATTAAAAAAACAAAGTGTTATCCGAAATTTTACATATCGTAAAATTATTACCAAGCCTAGATCGTGTCTGCACAAGCACAAAGTACAGAGTCGGAAAATAGTGTGAAACAAGAAAACACGTAGTTAAGTTAAGGGCCAAAGTCCATGAATTGATCGGAACTTTACATGGGTGATTTTTTTATGGTAGATAGATTTTACGACCAAATAAAAATATACAAAGATCCGTACCCGGAAACATAGGCGAATATTAATAATTTTTTGTAGGGAGATTTTTTACCCAATGGTAATCCTTAATAGTAAATTACAACATCTTTGGTTGAAAAACGTACCTAAATTTCCCAGAATTTGGACAAGTCGTTACATGAGGGTTACCCTAAAATGTGGATCAATATTTTCTATTCAAGAGAATTCAAATGACCAAATTGTATGAAATTTGGCTGTTACCTTAAACATTTCCTCAAAGGGAACGATTGGTACTAGTTGCGGTTTATTCGTTAATCTAGTTCCATTCTTTCAATCTTTCCTTTGTTCTCTTGAAGTTATACACCGATGTGGAGAAAGCAATCATGGATTTTGTACTACGCTAAAGCACCAGATTCACATCGATGCACGTGAGTGAGTTTTGGTAGCTCAACCACCATATTTTTCAGACTTGGCCCCCTGTTACTTTTTCCTATTCCCAAAACTGAAGACACCGAAATGAACGAAAAATATTTTGGTACGAATGAGGGTATACAAAAAAATTGAACTGGAGCAGGAGCTTTTGGTAAATAAAAAAATGGTTCAGACGCAAGACAGTTACAAGTGTGTGGGTCCTAATATATGATATGGTATAAACACAAACGTTTTATTAATCATTTGAATACAACTCTAATTTAAATATTTGAAATTAACGGTTAACCATGTAAATATTTTGTAAATAGTACCAAAACCTACATCACTGACCTTACTACCTTTTTATACAACCAATACTAGATAAGAATCTTGCTTCTCATAATTAGTACCTAAGCTCAATCAAATTTCAATAAAATCGCTTCACTCCGAGTCCTGGACCACCCGGCTCTAATTCGTTTAGCGCACACTGAAGGCTTAAGATCACGCTTGCCCAAGTTGATGGACTAGATCATAAGCTGGAAGTAGTTCCTAAACAAGGAGTAGCCAACATTATTGTAAATCTTGTTGTTTTGAGTTTCTTCACAGTTATTTTTATATATCGCCAACACAGATTCACGCTTGACCGGATAAAGGTAGAAATTACTCATATAAAGTATTAGTTTATTGTAATATTTATGGAAAAATTTGAAAGCAGATCGAAGTTTTAACTTAAGTAGCACAATGGCGCCCAACATTAGGTAGTAAAAATTCTACACTACTTGGCAATAGACCTCAGACCCTGTATGTTGTAAATATAATGAAAATAGTTTCATATTAAGGCCCCGCTATGTATATACACAGCAAAATACGTTACTGATAATTAATCTTTATTGCATTTTATGATCTGTTAAAAAAACAGCAACATTTCAATTCCCTCAACGGGGTAAGTAAATCAAAAATCCATTCTCAGTTTTTAGTTTGAACTGAACGCGAGAACGCAACAAGTCGCAGTTGCCGTGCGTGCGTTTTAAAAACGAAAAGAAAAAAAACAACATGTCCCGCTTACAACAATTCGCATTTTGTTTATTTTTAACACTGATAATCGCCGGGCCGACATTATCTCAGTCCATAGTCGACTATCGTCTTAGCAAAGATGTCGTACCCGATTTCTATGATATCAAACTGAAACCTTATCTACAATCTGAAGATGGTGTCAAACAATTTACGTTTGATGGTGAAGTTAATATCACACTGCATGCGACAGCGGCGAATGTTCGTAATATTACCCTACATGTGGCAATGATTGAGATTGTGGAAACAATTCTCTACGATGCCGATGATAAGGCGATTGACCACTACTGGGGTGAAGATAAATTGCAGTATCAAGTAATTACAAATAAATTGAGTGTACCATTGACCTCGAACTTGACTCCCGAAAAGCCGTATAAGTTATATTTTAAATATACCGGGCGTATTCGTAGTGATATGGGTGGTATTTATCGTGCCACCTACGATAATAAAAAGTAAGTTGATGTTGAAGTATTTATGAGTATGTTATGTGCATTTAAAGATTATAATGTTTGTTTGGGAATGTCTTATTTTTGGTTATATATAGAACAGCTGTAGAAAGTGTTTTGTTTATAAATAAGTAAAAAGGTCGTTAACTTCGGCAGGGCTGAACTTAGTTAAATAAATAGTTTATTTGTTCCATATTGCACATATGTATACCTCTCTTAGAATACGTGTACAAATTCTTATAAACACTATTTTTTCCCAAAAAATGTAAACTTTTCATTTATATCAAAACATGTTTCCTACTTTGATTTGATTTAACACTATTTGCGCAAATGTTGTCCTTTCTCTCACTCTTTTGACAAAAACAAATGTATTCCTGCGAAAAATAAACACCATCACAATTCGTTGTGCGACGTCTCTCCGCTCATTTGATTGTGGTTATTTTTGCACTCCATTGTTTTATTATTTCAGACACTGCTACTGACCTCTTTTTGGTGTTGTATAATTCGCATATGAATTTTCCAAATTATTTCGATATAAATACCAAATACAATATATCAAACAAGTGTTGATACGAGCAACAAATACGTATATAATTGTTTTAATGACGCAAAACAATAACATATTTTTAAATAAATAAAAAGAAACGAGAAAATACATAACAAAGAATATGATGACATAAAATCAACAAAGCAAAGAGTTTATGTGCCATATAAAACCCGTCACCACCAAACACGCACTCCGAAATGCTGTGTTTTTTTCACTCTCTTATAAGAAACCAGTATTTTAAGTTTTTATGAATACTATTCATATAATATACGAATTATTTTTTCTGTGTAGTCAACATAATTTCACATTCATTCTTGACGACCAAAGTCAGATATTCATTCGCTCGGTCCTTTTTTAAGGTGCATGCCGCTCTGTTCACTCAACCATGTTGCCTCTTTTTTATCGTGCTTGAAACAGACTAATTCTTCTCACACATTAGAAGCGCTCAACATATTCAAAAAAGTACCGCTATAAATAAAAAAAATATTTTCCCTGGTGCAGCTAACGGAAATACACACATTTGTAAAAATTACAATTTGAATGAAAAGGAGTAGCTACCATAACAGAACCCAAAGGGGAATTCGACATAAATATATCAAAGTTTATTTGTTTCCTACTGCAATCATAAAAATTACATAGCAGTTTGTGTCTTGCAAATTTCCTATAATTTTGAAAACCATAAAGAATGACAGCGTTTCTTTTTATTTATTAAAATAGAATATTCTGGGAAACCCTCATAAAAATAAATGGGCCAATAGAGTCCGAGTTCACCATAAGAACTATAAAAAATATGCTAAGGTGTCGGGTTAGTTGGAAAAAACTACTACTATGAAAAATCAACGAAACAGAAAACCAAACCGATCCGGAAATTTTAACAACGGGTAAAGCACCAAACCGAAGGCATTGGTGCAGACAAATCCTCCTTAAAAAAGATTTAAAAAATCCTGGCTTAAATTAGGCGTAAACAAATATAAAAAATTGATTTCTAATTTGGATTTAAGAAATTTGCTTTGATGAGCTGAAGACCAAGCAGTCCACATAGGCAACTTTTAAAAACATTTTTATAAAAATGATTACGATTATAAGGTCGCGCTATAAAAGAGTTGTAGGTCTTAATAGCTGTTCTAAATTCCAGGGAGTTTTTAGCGAAAGTCCTGCGAATATGTAGAGGCGAGTTGACTAGCATGGAGTTTATATAAAGCTGATGATCAAGAATTCCGTATAGGAGTTTTAGGATAAGCTAAAGCCAGAGAGTCAAGAAATATTAGCTGAAGGCCTTGGAGTTATTATACGTTAGCTGAAAATCAAATAGTCATTATAGAAGTGCGGAAGTCCTGAGAACTGAAGAGTTTTTAGATAAGCTGATGACTAGAGAGTCTTTACAGATGGCCTGTAATACTGGGAGTTTTTAAAGACGAACTGAATATGAGGGAATCTTTTCGGAGAAACTGAGATGAGCTGAAGTACATGTAGTCTTTAGAGGCGAGAGGAAGGCCCGAAGGTCTTTGAAGATAGGTTGAAAGGTACGTAGACTTTAAAGGCCAGCAAAAGGGAAGGCAGTCGATCTGATGAATTTACGGTCCACGTTCCAGAGACGAACTTGAAAACTTATTTTAAAAATCCACGCTCATAAAAATAATTTTTGGTGCTTATGACATGAATTTAGATGAGTCTTTAGAGACGAGCAGAAGGACACGAGGTCATTACACTGACACGTTTTTTCAATTTGAAAATCTTGAACCAATCGATACTTTTTTGAGACTTTGACTTTGTTAGACTATGACCATGTGTTTTAAAAAGAGTTGTTTGTTTTACCTTTGACTATATTCTTGTCATATATTGTGTCGAAGTAATAGCAAGTTCTAAACCCAGTGCGAAAAATCATGAAAAATTATGTTTTTTGACAGATGTTTTTTTTTTATTTTATATCAAAGCAAACTTTGTAAATCTTACTAACGGGTAAAACATTGCTGAATAGTAAAAATCTATTTTTCGACTAGTTCACGAATAATAAGCGTTCGTATTATTCGAAACGACGAAATTTAAACCAAAACCCAGCATGGACGTCCCGATTGGTTCATGATATTAGTGCTACACAGTGTTATAGGCGGACGGGGTGATATTCTGAATTCCATAGAGTATTTATAAACGGACTGAAGGCCAAAAAGTCCTCATAGGCGATCTTAAGCCCATTAAGTTTTTATAGGTGTCTTGAAAGCCAAGGTGTTTTTTTGATGAGCTAATGACCAGAGTCTGAAGGTCAAAAAATTAATATGAACTATTTAAAAAATTAATCCCATTTGTTTAATATAGTTCTCTATGCGAACCTGTTCTTCTTTAGCACTCAATTTAAATATTCAAGTGCAATGTACTGCTCTGCATCTGTTATAATTTAATTTGTTTGTATTTATGTATATAAATTTCAAATCAAATCCAGTTCATGTTGATTGATAAGATCAATAACATTCAATAATAATGCAATTAATATTAAAAACAAATTTCATTAATAAATATTTTATACAAAAGGAGGGTGGTTCATTAAGTGGTGGTAAAATTCAATCTGATAAAAAATAGGGTAGATTTTGGAAATAAAATTGAGCCAAAATACATATTCTTTTTTTTTTAATAATTGGTTATTGTAAAAAGTAAAATCATATAATAAGAGCTGAAGGTCATGTTGTCTTCATAGACGAGCTGTAGTTCAGGGATTCTTTATAGGTTGGCTGAAGGACGGAGTAATTTTAGACTAGGTTGATGCTATAGTTTTTATAGGCTTGAATCTGAAGGCCTGGCAATTTTTATAGGCGGGCTGAAGGCCACGGAGTCTTCATAGACGAGCTGTATGTCAGCGGTTTTTTTGCAGTATTTTTAGAAGGCCTGGAGGTCGATATAAACGAGCTGAAAGCTATGGAGTCTTTATAGTTAGTTGAAGGACAGAGAGTAATTTTGGACTAGTTTAAGGCTAGAGTCTTTATAGGCGTGAAGCTGTAGGCCTGGCAATCGATATAGACGAACTGAAGGCCCGTGATTTTTATTTAGTAGTATTTTTAGAAGAACTGAAGGTCTGTATGTCGATATAAAGGAGTTGAAAGCCACGAAGTCTTTACAGACGAGATGTAGGTCAGGGAGTATAGTCTAGTTGAAGATCAGGGAGTCATTTTAAACTAGGTTAAGGCTAGAGAGAAACTTCAGGGAATTTTTATAGGCGAACTGGAGAGGAAGCCTTTTTAAAACATCTGAACCCCTGCCATGAAGTTTTTAAAGACGAACTAAAGGCCAGAGTCTGATTTTCTTTAGTAGTATTTTTTATAAGAACTGGATGAGTATTTTTTAGAATAGGTCAATGCTAGATTTGTTATTGGGGTGAATCTAAAAGCCTGGACATTTTTATAAGCCAACTGAAGGCCATGTAATTTTTATAGGCGAACTGAAGGTCAATGCGATTTTCTTTCGAAGGATTTTTTAGAAGAACTGGAGACGAGATGTAGGTCAGGGAGTTTTTATAGGCTAAGTGGAAGACAGGAAGTAATTTTAGACTAGATTAAGGCAAGAGTATTTATAGGCGTGAAGCTGAAGGCCTGGCAATATTTATAGGCCACCTGAAGCAAAGGCAGTGTTTGTAGACGAACTGAAAGTCAGTTTCCGATTTTATTTAGTAGTATTTTTTGAAGAACATTAGGCTTGGAGGTCGATATATAGCGCTGAAAGCCGCGGAGTCTTTATAGACAAGCTGTAGCTCACAGAGTCTTTACAGCTGAAGGCTAGCTGAAGGACAGGGAAACATTTAAGACTACATTAAGGCTAGAGTCTTTGTCAGGAAGCCAGAAAGTCTTTATAGGTGAGTTGCGGGCGGGGAGTCTTTATAGAAAACCTATCAATTTGTTATAGACATGCTGAAAGCCTCGGAGTCTTCATTAAAGTGCTGAATGTCTGGGTTAACATGATGACCAGTCTTTATTGATTAGCTGAAGAGCAAGGAATCATTTTAGACTATGTTATGGTTAAAGTCTTTATAGGTGAGAAGCCGAGATGCTGGCAATTTTTATAGGCAAGCTGAAGACCATGGAGTTTTTATAGACGAACTGAATGTCAGTTCCTATTTTATTCAGAAGTATTTTTAGAAGAACTGCAGCCATGGGGGTCTATATAAAAGCGCAGAAGGCCACGGAGTTTTTATAGACAAGGGAGTCTTTATTGGTTAGCTGAAGGACATGGAGTCATTTTAGGCTAAGTTAAGGCTAGAGTCTTTGTCTAGCAATTTTAATCGGCGAGCTGAAGCCCAGCAAGTTTTTATAGACGAACTAAAGGATGAAAATCTTTATAGATTTGCATGTGCTGAAAGCCTCGGCGTCTTCATTAAAGTTCTGAATGCCAGGGTTGACATGTTATTGATAAGCTGAAGATCGGGAAATCCTCATAGGCTAGCTTAAGGACAGTTTCCGATTTTCTGAACTTTATAATTTTAATTGTTGCATTATTAATATTTATTTTTCCTTCTTCTGTTTTTAGTTGGTATGCCATGACTCAATTCCACATTAGTGATGCCCGTACCGCCTTCCCGTGTTTCGATGAACCACAAATTAAGGCACAATTCCGTATCCAAATTACACGTCCCAAAGACTATTTGTCATACTGTAATACCCAGCTGGAAAACGTTGTGAGTGAAAGGTAAGACCATATTAACATTTTAATTTTTGTATTTCATAAATTTACTCAATTTCAGTGATGGCCGTTATACCGACATCTTTGTACCATCACCGAAAATGTCCACCTATTTGGTAGCATTCCTGGTGGCCAATGATTTTGTTGTTGATGGCAGTGCGGATTTGAAAGTGATAATAAATCAAAAATTCCAAAATAAAACTGGATTTACTTTGAAAGTGGCCGCCCGTGCTCTGCAGGGTTATGATGAGTATACCCAGATGCCTTACAAAACGTTGGGCAATGGCATAATGCAAATGGCCGGATCGAATTATTTTCCACATGGTGGCATGGAAAATTGGGGTTTGATTTTTTATCGGTAAGTGAAAATCGTTAATTCAGATTCAATACGGTAATCAAACACTTCATTGAAGTGGAACTAAGGATTTGGAATATGCTTCTTCTACTAAAAACACAATACTCGTTCATATTAAGTTTCCGATGCCTATACTCGGTTTAATTCTGCTAAATTAAAAAAAAAAATACTAATTGCATTCCCTTCTCACATACAGAGATCTAGCATTGACCCAAGAACCCTATTACACAGACGGGTGGGCCGACAAGGAATCTACCATATCGCTGGTGGTCCACGAGATAGGTCACATGTGGTTTGGCAATACTGTCACTCACAAATGGTGGAGTTATTTTTGGTTAAATGAAGCTTTCCCCACCTATTATTCTCATTATTTGACGCAACAGGTAACTTAGTTGGAGATTCAATTGATATTAATTTTTAAGGACGATTACTAAAATTTAAATTCTTCTTTACAGATTTATCCCGACTATGACATGGACCAACAATTTGTGCTGAAACAAACCCATTTGATTTTTGATTTGGATGCTACCGCTAACAGCCAACCATTATCTCATCCCGAGGAAAATATCAATACACCCTCTGAAGTTGCGTATAAATTCAGCAGCATTGGCTATAATAAGGGTGCTGCCATTCTCCGCATGATTTGCAATTTAATGGGAAGAGAGAATTATGATAATGCCATTAGAGATTATTTGCAGGAGAAGTAAGTGTAAATTAGAACAAGTATACGGCAGGTCACTGCAGGACAAGAAGTTTTAATAGACGAGCAGCAAGCCAAGGAATCTTAACAGACGATCAGAATACCAGAAAGAGTTTACAGTCGAGCTGAAGGTATGGGATTTTTTTATAGACCAACAGAATGTCAGGGGAATTATTAGAGGAGCTGAAGGAGAATTATTATAGGTGCCGAAGCAAGAGCCATTATAAACGAACTAAAGGCCAGCAAATATTTATAGTTCAGCTGAAGGTCAGTCTGCAAGTCATAGTCAGGAGCAAGAGTAATTATAGGCGATGTTTAGGGAGTCATTATAGGTTAGCTGTAGACTACAGGGGCTGTGATCTGGTAGTCTTCGGAGGGAGGAAGATTGATGGAAAGGGAGTCTTTATAGATGAGCTTAAGGCCAGGTAGTCTTTATAGTCTAGCCGAAGGCCAGTGTGTATTTATAGATTAGATGAAGGTCAGGGATTTTTATAGACTAGGTGAAGTCTAGACGGTTGGTGGTCTGGTAGACGAGCATAGAGTCTTTATAGGCAAGCTGAAGGCCTGGAAGCTATAGAAGGTATGGATACCTCACTTTGTCTTTATAGACTATATGAAGTCCAGGGAGTCATTTTAAACTAGGCACTTAGTCTTTAGGACCATTGAGTGATTTAAGAATAGGTGAACATGATGGACGAGAGCCACCTGTCTAGCCGAGGTGAAGGCTAGACAGGTGGCAGTTGGTGGTCTGGGCATAAGTCATACCCTATGCTACCTGGAAGTCAGGATGTTTTTAGAGGAGAGCTGAAGGCCTAATGGTCGCTAAAAAGAGGTGAAGATCTCAACGTTGCTATTGAAGAGCTTAATGCCATGGTGTCTTTATATACAAGATAAAGGTCAAGGAGATTTATAGGCTAGCTGAAGGGAAATAATCTTTATAGAAGAACTGAAGCCCTGAGACAGGCCATTCAATATTTATAGTCAAGTTGAAGGCCAAGGATAGTCACATAGTCTATGTGAAGGTTAGGAACTCATTTTAGGCTAGGTAAATGCCAGAGAGTCTTTTTAGACAACGTAAGGGGCACGCAGTTTTTATAAAAGGAGCTGAAGGTCAAGGAGTAATATAAGACTGGACTATTTATGGGCGATATAGAAGGCATGGGAGTCGTTATAAAGGAGCTGAAGGCCATATAGTCTTTATAAACAACCTGAAGACTTGGGAGTTTTTATTAAAGGCCAGGAAGTCATTTTACACTAGGCGAACTTCAGAAAGGCTAGCTAAATTGTACATAGTCTTTAGAAGCGCGCTGAAGGCCAGGGAGTAAATTAAGGCTAGGCGAAGGCTAGACAGTTGCCGATCTAGTAGAGGAGCAGAGGGCTATAGGGTATTTATAGACGAGCTAAAGGCCAGGACTGCTTATAGGCGAACAAATTCAAGTAGTATTTTATGCGAGCTCAGGGACTCGTAAGTCTTTATAGGAAATCTGAAGACCTGGAAGTCGCTAAAGTACAGGTGAATGCTAGGGAGTCCCTGTGGAAGTGATTATGGGCAAGCTTAGGGCCTCGTAGTTTTTTTGGACGATCTGAATGTCACAGAGTCTATAAAAAAACCTCTTTATAGACGGGCTGAAAAGTCCTTTATATACGATCTCAGGTCCTTCGATTCTTTATAGAAAATCGTGTATCTGTACAAAAGAAGCCTGGGAATCCTGGGAGCTAAAATCTGAAGTTGAAGGGCCAGTGAGTCTAAAGGCTAGGGAGTTTTTAATTTACACTAGGTTGAGGCTAGGATAGAAGATATAGAGTCTTTATAGGTGAACTAAAGGACAGGGTATCATTACAAGAAAGCTGAAGGCCTGAAAGTAACTAAAAAAGAGTTGAATGCCTGAGAGTCACTGTGGTAGAAATTAAAGCCACGAAGTTTTTATAATTTAAACAAGCTGAAGGCCTGAGAGTCTTAATAGACGATCTAAATGCCACTGAGTCTTTATAGGCTAGCTGAAGGACAGAGAGTCTTTATATAAGACCTGAAGTCCTAGCAGTCTTTACAGATAAGATGAAGGCTAGACAGGTAGTCTTTGTAGCCTGCTTTGTAGGCGAGCTGAAGGACTCGTAGGTGTTTATAGGAGCTGAATAGGAGCTGAAGGACTCGTAGGTGTTTATAGGAGAGCTGAAGACCTAAAGAAGAGAGATGTCTGAGAGTCACTATGGTAGAGCTGAACTCCTGGCAGATCTTTCATATAAGTAAACGGCCAGGGAATCTATTTAGACGAGCTGGAGAAAAGTTAGTCTTTAAAGAAAATCTTTGGAAAGGACCTGAATTCAGAAGTGTTTATAGAACATAGCCTGCTTTGTAGGCGAGCTGAGGGACTCGTAGGTGTTTATAGGAGAGCTGAAGACCTAAAGAAGAGAGATGTCTGAGAGTCACTATGGTAGAGCTGAACTCCTGGCAGATCTTTCATATAAGTAAACGGCCAGGGAATCTATTTAGACGAGCTGGAGAAAAGTTAGTCTTTAAAGAAAATCTTTGGAAAGGACCTGAATTCAGAAGTGTTTGTAGAACATATATTCAGATAATGTTTATAGGGGAACTGAGGTCACGCAGTTTTTTTTAAACCATCTGATTGTCACGGTAACAACCAGAGAGGCCTTTGTAGACGAACAGAAGGGAGTCTTTGAAGGCCAGGGGGTCTTTTGAGACGAACGAGAGACCAGAAAGTCTTAGTTACCGAACTGATATTCTGGAAGTCTTCATTGACGAACTGAATAACTAGCACTTCTTATATACGATCTAAGGTCCTCAGATTCTTTATTCTTTATAGGGAGATGTTATATTCAAGCTGAAGATTTTCGGATCTCTAGAGCTGATAACCAAGGACATGTCAAAGGCAAACTAAAGGTTAGGAATTATTTAGAGACGATTTATATGATCTGGAATTTTGGGAGTTTTTTAGACGAACTAGCAGAACATAGTATTTTTAGGGACTCCTTTTATGGAGGCTGGATGTAGTTTTTTTAAAGGGAACTAACAAGAGGCTATGCTGAGGCCTCATTATATAAATGGTACACCGGTGTGTGACAAGAGTAGGCACCGTCAGGACGCCGTTCTGACAGGTCTGAATGTATTTCCATGGAGTAATATGAATATTCGCCTAACAGAGTTACTTGACTACACCTCAAGTGCTACCGGCAAGCAGTCGGCCGACCTGCCTTTTAGAGACAGATACTTTTTTCTAGCCGGACATGTTGTAGAGTTGATCACCTCTCTTTTCAACTTAACCTAGTGAAACTGAAGGGATGTTTTTTAGAAGATCTAAAAGTAATTTTTGTAGACTTTACTTAATGACCTGTATAAAAAATTACATTATTTCCCTTTATTTTTCTCTCTTTCAGTCACCACAACAGTGCCGAACCGGATGATTTATTCAAACAATGGAAACGTCATTGGCCCAAAAATCAGGAAGTCAATTTAGATCAATTATTCAGTGATTGGACGGAGCAACCCGGTTACCCTATTATCGAAATATCCACCACAGAATCGGGTCACTATTTAATCAAACAAAAACGTTTTCTAAATAATCCAGAGGATGGTAGTGATAAATCTCTACTCTATACCATACCCATCACTTATGCCACCAGTCGCGAAAATAATTTCGAAAATCTTCAACCGAAATTCTATTTTAATAGAACTAAAACGGAAATGGAATTTGGAAATTCCGATAAAGATGAATGGATCGTATTGAATTTACAGCAATCGAATTTTCATAGAGTTTACTATGGAGCCGAACTTTTGGAGAAGATAAGAAAGGCGTTAATGGCGCCCAAATACAGTGGAGTACATGTCATTAATCGTGCCTATTTGCTGGATGATTTATTCACCTATGCTCGTTTGGAAATTATGAATTATGGTGAGGTGTTTAAATTCATTGAATATTTGAGTGGTGAAACCGAATATTTGCCATGGCAGCCTGCCTTTAAGGCTTTCGATTTGATAAGTCCGCGATTGACTTTGGAGCAACACCGACAATTTGGTGAATTTTTATTTGACATTATGTCGGGGGTCTATAAGAAATTGGGATTTGAAAATCCTGGAGATAGGGTTTTGGATGTTTACAATCGCAATATGGTTATCGCTTGGCTATGTAGATATGATCATGAAGATTGTAATGTGATGGCTCAAAAAGTTTTCAAATCCACGGAACCAAAATTAATTCCTGCCGATTTCCAGGAAACTCTCTATTGTGCCGCAAATCGTAAGGGTTCGGTTGATATTTATAATACCCTCAAAACGGAATTTATTAAAATGGAGCTACAAAGTCAAAAACAAAAACTGCTGCGTGCCATGGGTTGTACGCTCCATGTTGTGGACAACCATTATAACTTCATATTAAGCAATGAGGTGCCTCAATCAATGAAGAGATCGGCCATTAGCAGTTTGTATAAACAAACACCGGAAAATGTTGATCCTGTTTTCCAACTCATCAATAACACACTGGAGGTCTTAACAAAGGCGTAGGTTTTTTTTTCAAATCCTCTCTTTTACATACGAAATAATTATCTCGTTTTTTATTTCAGATTGGGTAGCTGGTATAACACCGCCATAGTTGTAAGTGATGTGGCCAATTATTTCACCACCGAGGATCAATTAAAGGAATTGACTGAATTTATTGGGACAAAAGGTCATCTGTTTGGTGAAGACATCAATGTTTTGGAAAATTCCGTTAAAACGGTAGAGAATAATCTCGCTTGGTCGACGAAACATTTGGGAAGTCTATTCCTATATTTGGAGCAACGAAATGGTGCTGCCGCCACAATTACGAACTCGTTGCCAATTTTAACGATTATGATTGTTGTCATATCTTATTTGAGATATTAATTTTGTACAAAACATATTGAAAATAAGTTTTTTTAAATAAAAAATGTGGAAATTTTGAACAAAAAATCAATATATGTGTCGATTTTTAGAGAATATTTATAGACTAGCCGATAACTAGGGGAAGTGCTTATAAATAAGTTGAAGGGACCCGCCGAATGCTCCCTGGCATTCTTTACGGACAAGGTGGAAACAAGGGATCTGTTCATAGATGATATCAAGGTAGTCTTCTTTATAGACGAGCTGAATGTCATGGTGTCTTCGTAGAAGAGATGTAAGTTTGAGAGTCTTGATAGTTGTGTTGAAGGTCAAGGAGTCTTTGTTAGAGACAAACTGAAGGGAAGCTTAATATACGGGTTGAGGGTAGACTTAAAGACAAAATAATGGACTCTTGATGAAAGAGTGCGGAACTTTCATAGATTAGTTAAAGGTCAGGCGTTATATACGAATTGAAGCCCTGGGAAAAGTTATAGATGATCTGAAGGCCAGTAAGAATTTGTAGAAGAGCTGAAGTACTTCAGCATGGAGAAGATTTTGGGCAGGACGTTTCTATAGGCGATCTGAAAACGATGGATGAGTCTTTATAGGCGAGTCGAAGAAGGCCTTTATATACTGAACTAGAATAATTTAAGTCGAGTTGAAGGCAGTAGCGACTTAAAGTAAGTTCTTTCAGCGGAACTGAAGGGTGGAAAAATGTAGACATTAATTGATTTCACTATTATCAAAGGGGCTTTCAACAATGTTGGCACCGAAACAATTATCTAATCCTTAAAATCCTTTCGCGTGAACCAGACAACGATAGATTTGTTCATCCCAAGAAATAGATGGAAAACTATCAGGGCAAAGTGGGGCGAGGGACACCGCAAGCATTATTTATAGTCTAATAAGAAACCAACGACAGATTTTCACCAGTCTATTACTTCTATGCGGAAATTTTGCAAACTTTCTATGGAGGAAGGCTAAAACGCCGTTAAATATAACATTTAATTGGGCGAAATCAAGGGACATAATTTTCATTCGGAAAAATGGAGACATGTATTTTTACCAGAAGGTCAAAAATAGGACAAACCTCGAATATGGGTTGACAAGGTCCACAGATGCTAGGATTTCTGCAGTTCTAGTTATATATTATAGAGAGTTGAAATCCAAAGATAATAACTTAATCTATAAGAGCATTATTGGATTAATTCTAAAATAAGCGTCTGTAGTTTGGAGCACTACATAATATACACAAATCATGGTGCCTACGTATATGTGAGGGCAAAGCGGATACTACCAATTAAGACCTTGGAGTATAGGGCTACCACAAAGCATCGGCATCTTACACGATTAGACCATGTGTTAATTTCACTATCATTGTTTTTATTTAAGCAACGTGATGAGGCTATCATCTATCGTTGCTTAGACGCAACGCCATCTTGAAATGTTTACATTGGTTGATGTCCTTGCTTATTTAGTGTTTCTATTTTCCTCTGTGCGGCGCTCTCTTCTTCCATTTTTATGTGTTGATGCCGAGATTGTTTATTAGAATGTCTGAAGGCTTCGAATGTATTTCATCTGAAAATAATGAACTCTTTTTTTCAAAGAACAACCCCGCTGGGTTTTGAACCATCAACCATCAAAAAGCAGTCCGCCACATTATCCACTGGATCTCGATAATTGGAACTATCACAAATGTCATCATTCAAATCAGGAAGGATGGGACTAGAACTCTTCCCACAAAAATCGGACACTGAAATTTTACTTGGTTGGATTAGTGGTTAAGTTAAATTAGAGACTAGCAATAACAGCCTGGCAGCAAACAGGGTGAAGGTTGGGTAACACAGGGATTATAGACAACGAAAAAGTCTATCTACTCACCAGAAGTGCTACAGACCTACACACAATAGATGTGAGTAATGTGAAACCTTTAAGCGCGAAACAAAATAATTTGGAAACAGCTCAAAATAATATGGAGAGACTCAAATGAAAATATAAGCAGGAAAATCTTAAAATTAAGCATCCTTCTGTCCTTTTTACAAGAACCACTAAATAGCCGCAATGCATAATTACATCCACTTCTGTTGGAGAATCGAAGAAACCTAAAATGGGACAGAACCTTTGTAAGGGACAGCGAAAAAAGCATGAACATGATATTGACAATTTTATTCGAAGAAGTTTTTTTTTGCCCACCAAGTACCCCGAATCCGTTTGGAAATGCGTCTAGGACAATCAAGATACCAACAAGTAAAAACGATGTTATGTTCGACCCGGACGAACTTTTTATACCCTTCACCATGAGGATGGCAATAAAAATATCTAAAATTAATGGGGACTCCCAGGTGGAAGTTCATGTTATGAAAAGACCTTGAAGATACCTAAAAATAATTGACAGATGGGAATACAAAATACCAAATTAAAGCTAATTCGGTGGAAATTCGTGTCAAAAATTCTCAAAATACCGAATTGGTTCAGCGTTAAACCTAAAATAAGAACCAAAAATGTCCATATTTGGGGCACCATATTATATATGTTGGAAAACGAAATCCTTATGGGGCCCACCCTAAAACTTGGGTCAATATTAATAATTTTTGGTACGCAGATGTCTTATACCATGAGAACCCAAAATGCCAAATTACAGCCAATTCGGTTGAAAATGTCCCCAAAATGTTGAATATGGGGGCTACACCAAAACGTGGACATATATATGCCATTTGCAATGCCAAACATTCTAGGAGTAGTAGTAATGTCTGCGCAAAATTTCTGAGTTCTATCTTAAATATTGCGATCTCTATAGTCATTTCAACACACAGACAGACGGACATATGTATTTTGCAAAAACGACATAGAATTTTATTCTGATCAAAAATATATATCCGATGAATATTTCGCGGTGTTGCAAATGGCAAATTTAATATATATATATATATATATATCTCACCTTATGGTGGAGGGTATAAAAATGGGCCAGGACATTTACTTGGCAAAATATGAAAATATATTGAACAATTTCAGTAATAATGTGTTCACCCTCCACAAACTCGGAATGCAAAATTGCAGCTATTTTTGTTGGAAAATGCGGACAAACCATTCAAAAATAAGGGCAATCCCACAATAAAAATTCTAAAAAATACCAAGCTGCAGAATCTAATAGTCACCAATAAAATAGTATTTAAACGTCTACGTTATGACTCTGATAATCTCTCAAAAGTGTAAAAAAATATCCACGCCTTGGTAGTCCCACAAAACATTTTCTTAACAAATCCACGCCCTAATAGTACCTAAAAAACAACGTCGCTTATGGCTCTTTTTATCCCTCAAAAAAGAACTTGCTTATGGCTCTGATAATGTCCAAAACTATTCTCAAAAAAGTCCACGCTTACGACTCGGATAGTCCCCCAAAATATATTCTTTAAAAATCACGATTATGCCTATGATAGACGTTTAAAAGTAAGCTCTAAAAATCTGCGGTTAACACTCTGATAGTTAAAAAATGTCGTTAAAAATCCATGCTAATGGTTCCGATAGTCTCACAAATATATTTTTTTAAGAAATCCACGTTCTTGGCATTAATAGTCCTTCAAAAAAAAAAAAAAAATATTCTTTAAAAATCCACGCTATTGGCTCTGGTAGACAATTATAAAAATGGTCTTATAGTCTATCTATCTGGTTTTCATAGTCTATCTAAAATCATTTTTAGAAATCAACGATAAATGTTCCGAAAGACCTTCAAAACATTCATAAAAATCTCATATTCTTAAAAATCTACTCATTTGGTTGTGGCAGTCCTTCAAGAAATATTCTTTAAAATTCAAATCTCTCAAAATTCCACGTTTAGGACTTTGATGAACCGCCAACAAAATATTCTTAACAACCACTTTTATGGTTCTAATAGACTTAAAGACTATTCTTAAAAAATCTTCAGTAATATTCCTTTTTGCTCCGATATATTCAACAAATCACACATAAGGCTTTGATATACCCTTATCAAAATATTTTTAAAAAATCCTCGCTTATGGATCTGATAGTCTCTCAAAAATATATTTAACATAATCTAACCATGGTTTCTGAATATCCCATTAAAATATTCATATCAAAAATTGAAAACATTTTCTTAAAAATACACATGGATCTAATATTCCTTCAAAAATTGTATAAAACCTCGTTTATAACGCTGGCCCAGAAAATCCTCTACTCACAAGAATTAAAAAAAAATCCACATATATGGATCTGAAAGTTCTTGCAAACGGTCCGTCAACAAATATTCTTAAAAAAATTTGTCTGATGGTCCCTACGTTTATTACAGTGAAAGAGAATATCCTATATCCTTAAATACCCCCACTTTTTTCTAAAAATATATATTAATTTAAAGAGTTATATTGAAAATATTTCAAAGTGTATTTTGAAACTGATTTCTTAGAAATCACACATCACAGACTTTAATTTATTCGGTTCTTGTCTTGTGAAATTGCATTGTATCCGTTTATTCATAAAGTAATTTCCCCCCGGGCTGATGAGAATCAAATACTTATGAAAATTTCGTTGTTGTTGCTGCTGTTGTTGATGCTGACGATGATGTTGCTGTTGTTGTTAATTGGTCAGTTGAATGAAAGTTTTCCATTATCATTAGTTGTTGGAAGAGAACACAAACACATACAAAAAACTCACACAGACGCAGACATACATCAACACATGACCACAAAAAATCCTACGGAAATCACTTTTGAGGTGACATTCAGCCAAAGCTCAGCAGTAGGTCCACAACACATGAACAAACAAATGCACACACACATACATACAGGCATAGTCGCAACAGTTACACCTAATGGTGTTCTCTTGTACACAATTAGAATGGAATAATAATTGTGAAGACGTTGTTGATATGTGGTCCACATATCAACATCTGTAGCAGCAACAACAGCAGGAGAATAAATAACATTCTGACAACACAAAATACAAAATGTGTATGTATGGGAGTGTGTGTGTGTGATTAGTACTTCATCTACTGCTTTTTGTTGTATCTTAAACACAACGATAATTTTTTATTAAACAAAACAGAACAAAAAAATCTACATGACATCCATTAGCAAAAACAATTCTCGGGGATTTTTTTGATATAAAAAGGATTTGACTTTAGGGATATGTTCTCTAGTTTCATTTTGCCGTTTGTTCGAGTCGTAGAGCAGTGTGTTTGAGAAACTGCTAGTTTTGAGTATTGGGCTTTCGTTTTGGATTTTTATATAATGGCGATTTCAGTACGTGGCTGTAGTTATGGAATATTGAGTTATTGTGTTTGTCTGATATTCTTGGCCCAATGTGATTTTAAAAAAGTGTCGGCGGAAAATGCAGTTCTAACCAATGATAATGGTAAGGTTATAAAGGTTGAACTGAAGATTTGATTCTAAAGGCCTTTCATTGTGTTACTGATTTCAAAAATTAATAAAAATAAATAAAAATTGCTAATTCGAAAATTATTCTTTAATTGTCCGCGATACGAACAAACCTTGAAACTTGCCGGATATCTAGCAAATTCAACTATCTCCAAATTCAAAAATATAGTAACCTGAATGGGGAATATGGAGATAGTTGAGTAGGCTTAGCTCAGCAGTTGAAAAGATGAGACGTGTCGTATGATCCTAATACACATACAGGACATGTGTTCGGTATCGAGCCGTCAATTCGTGCCCAATAGGAATTGAGGCGGTTACACCATCCAGATATAAGATGAGACTACTCGTATTTGTCGTGGCAGATACTTGTTCTCTGCTGCGTTGGTCTCCGTCTCTAACATTCACACGACATTGCTCTTCTGTCAGAACGACTGCTTTAATATGGATTCCATTCAGACCTGCTCCATAGTCCTGTTGATCTAGGGGTTCAAGATTTTACTTTAGACCTCTCTCACTCGATCATGAAGATCTCTCCTGACGTGCTTGGGTGGCCTGTTGATCTAGCGGTTCGCACTTGTATCTTTGGACCGCTCTTTTCAGATCATGAAGATCTCTCCTGACTTGCTTATAGCAGACAACTTGAAAAGTCTATCGAACGTTGCACCCAGTGTATTGTGGTAATTTGTGGTCGGAATCTTACGGAATCCATGCTAACGTTGGGAAACAGCTTCTCACCGATGGGAGGAGTAGCGCCTCAAGTGTCTTAGCTACTGGTGACAAGAGTGAAATCGGTATGTATCATTCACCCATGCTGATATTCTTGGCAGTAGCTAGTCCACGACAAGTTGAGGTGATTTAAATATTCAACTTCTGGTTCATCCAGCTGCTTAAGCATTACCATGGATATACCGTACGGGACCAATTCATTGGATGACTTAGCGTTTTTGATGGCATCTGCAACGTCTTCCGTCGTAAATTGTGATGGTACCTCCGCGGCTGGGAGTTTTTGTAGATGTATCAGCTTATATTGCTGTGAATTTTTCCTGCCAATCTGTTTCTGCTTCTAACTCCAGGTTCAAAATCGTGAGCTCTACTGGTTGTGTACAAAGTGAAAATGGAGTTAGAGTTGTTTTGGCGGGGCAGTTGAAGAGATGTATCAAGTGGACCATTACCTCATACCATAACTTCGTGCCCAATAGGAATTCATGCGGAAACACCGCCCATATCTAATTTGTGTCAAACCCACTCTAGTTTGCCCCGGTAGTTGCTGATATTTAATGTGGGTGGGCGTGTAGGGTACATATTAAACAGATCCTCTGATATCACTCCTATTAAGGGAACACCCTTTTTCACTAATTTCGTAATGCCACTTACGATTGGCACCCACACTTATAACTCACTATTCAACATTTCAAAATTGGCTGGATGATCGACAACTGAGCACCATTCACCAATGCCCGGGAGTAGCAAGAGTTCTAGGGTCTGGCGACAAAAGTGAAATCGGCCTGTAAGATTTATCTTTGCTGGCATTCTTACTTGGCCTCAGTAGTGGAACCATCCCTCCCATTTTGGCTAACGACAAATTGAGGACTTTGGTTAGGTACTCTTCTTCTGGTTCATTTGGTTGCCTCAATATCACCATAGTAATTCCATAAACACTAAGTTCTTTGTATGATTTTGCACTTTTGATGACACATGTAACCTCCTCTAACGTAAATTTTTGTGGCACCTCATCGACTAGAATAGATCGCTCTTGGGACTCTCTATAAATTGTCTATTTAAAAAAACATCTTGAGATCTGTCACCTCAACGCCATTAATCGAGACAGAAGTGCGATCATCTTGCTTTCTTTTGTTGAAGAGTCACGTATATGTTACCGACAACTTATTCGATTCGATACCGATGTTACAACACTTATTTTCCGCTTATTCTCGCCGACTAACTGTTGACTTCCAGTTCCAGATATCTGATTCTGAGGTCAGTAAGGTTTGTACGACGAAACACATCACGTCCGCCTGATAATCCCACTGTCTCTGCTATAAAGTTATGTCTCCATACATGATGATGTCCCGGTTACAATTTTCTGCTACCCGAACATCAGAAGGTGAAATCTCTGAAGCATCAATTGATGAAATATCTGAACTCTTGTCAATTAGCTTTTCTATGATTAAGAATAGTACGGCGTTCAGAGGTTATGAAGTCCTTATAATGATAAGGAGGTGGAGGTGATCCTCTGTCTCTGCTAAGAAGTTAGGCTTTATTTCATAATATCCTGGAAATTCGATTCTGCTACCCGTATATCAGAAGGAGTGGAAAGTTCTCGACAGCGACGTTTGGTGAAATATCTGAACTCTTGCCAATTGGCTTAAAAAGAGTACGACGTTCAGAGGTTATAAAATCGGATGAATATTGAGAGATATGATAATGAGGCGGAATAACCCATTGTCTCTGTTGACGATGTTCGGGAAATTACTTTCTGCTACCCGAAAATCAGAAGGATGTGGCACTTTTCTAAAGCGATGATTTTTCTGACCTACTGCAAATCGGCTTTTCATTGGTTAAGAAAAGTACAGCTTTGAGAGGTTGTGATATCGGATGGTATGTTGATGGGGAATAGGGAGGTGTTATGACCCCATAGAAATTACGGATTACCAAGTTACGTCACTCATCAAACTTGGAGACACGATGGATATGTTCTTTGAGATGTACCAGTACAAAATGTTTAGCTATTTTTTTCGTTTACACGGCCAGCGCCATGCACCTCTAGTCATTACCCCTATGTCAGCGAATTACTTGGGGCACCGTTATTTAACGTCGAAATGTATACAGCGGTACCATTTACGGCGAACCGCTACCCACATACATCCATGTATGGGTCACTAGAATTTAGTTAAAGCGAGATAGCTCTATACTGGACAGAATGGTGTAATAGGAATGCTAAGCCTCCAACTCTTGTAGAATCTTATCTTAAAACGCTGTGTCGAACGTCATGCCTGCAAGGCAGATGATGATGCTCGGTCAGAAACGTGCTCGGTTGAGCCGGTATGGAAAGCTCACATTGTCGTGGTACACAATGTCATGCTTTCGGTAATAATGATGATCCAACATAGTTCAAAGGCGGTATGATACTTGAATTATATCTATGTTAAAATTCCATTGGTTCATATATTTCTTCGAAGACTTATGGATGGTCGTTGAAAAGTTTTCGGTAACTAGGTATTTTACCTTTTGATAGTCAGGTATGCTGAATTGCAGCGATTTGACTAGAACCAAAAATATATTACGATATGTAAGTGGGATAACCCATTCGATTCATAAATTGTTGGCAATATAACCATTTTATGGAAGGAGGGGAGCCTTATAAGTACTCCTTTCGATAGTTATCAAGACCGACGGGTATTTCTAAATCATCTCCAAATGGTCTGAAACTTAATTGACCTATTGGAAAATTACGTGTATAACTCTATTATTTCTTTTCAGATATTTCCCACATTGGCGATGATTGCCAGGTGACACCAGTTATCCATGTTCTACAATATCCAGGATGTGTACCTAAACCGATACCCTCATTCGCATGTGTTGGACGATGTGCCAGTTATATACAGGTAATATTCGTTATTCTTATATGTCAGTAAAATGTCATATAAGGTAGGACACATAAGAAAAATGTAGCGGAATGAATCGTTATATACGGAAAATATACTAAAAAGTGGACCAATACCTAAATTTTAACAATAAGATTTTTTAAATCACCAATACTACATTTGAGGAACTTCATACATTTTCCTAAAATCCAATAGTATCTCACTGTATTTAATAAAGGACTAATATTGATCATTTTGATATGGATATCAGAATCAAATATGGAATCCTTTATTTGATTTTAAGGATATCGTATTTAATGTTTTTTTTTTTAATATCATACCTAATATCTCTTTTATCAGCTATTTCCATTTTGTAACTCTATTTTAATATAAATCATTCTCTGTTATAGGTTTCTGGTAGTAAAATCTGGCAAATGGAACGTTCCTGTATGTGCTGCCAGGAATCAGGTGAACGTGAAGCTGCTGTTTCCCTATTCTGTCCCAAGGTGAAACATGGCGAACGGAAATTTAAGAAAGTCCTAACGAAAGCTCCACTGGAATGTATGTGTCGCCCCTGTACATCGATTGAAGAATCGGGAATTGTGCCACAAGAAATTGCCGGCTATTCAGATGAAGGACCATTGAATAATCATTTTAGAAGAATAGCATTGCAGTAAAATGTTTAAATATATTTGTTAACTATAATTTATTAAAACAAAACATCACAGACACACACACGCACAAATTATAATTATAGCAACGTATTTTTATATGTATTTATGCAAATAAGTAGAAATAAAGAAATACTAAATGGTATTAAATGAGAATTTCGATGCGTTTGTGGTATTAATGAGCGAAAAGATTGATTTTAAACTAAAAAAATAAATTCATAGCCGGGTGTTATGGAATTGCGCACAGGGTAGCACGAAATCAAAGAATGTGATTATGGTTGATGTCAATGATGAAGGTTTGTGTCTATGATTTATAAGGATGACTATTCGTAATAGCAATTAGTGAACACGTAAGAGATTGCAGGTACTTTAGTTTGTAGGATCACGAATTAAATAAATTTACTTCTTGTCAAAACAATTAGATTTTCTGCGAGAATTCCATTTTGCCTTGATATAGAAGACAAATCTTTTTCTAAAAAGTGTATGACTAATTTTCTAATAGAAAACAATAAGAAGTTTTTTTTTATAGAAGGACATTAAGGCATCTTACAGAAGGCCATTAATTCTTTTTATAGATGACCATCAGATTTTCTTTTAGAAGATCTTTCTCTAAACAGCTTCTTACAGAAATCCAATACATTTTATTATTAAAGACCATTAGCTTTTCTTATAGAGATCACAAGATCTTCATATAAGATGTCATTATGTCTTCCTCTAGAAGACTTATAGCTCTTATAGAAGACTATCATGTATTCTTATGGATGACCAGAGCAGAAGACCATCAGGTACTATTATAAAGAACCATTGGGCCTTCTTTTAGAAGTCTATTGGGAATAGATAACGTTTACCACGACGAGGTTTTCAATTAGTGGTTGACCATTCATTTCAACCAAATTATTAAATAATTTGGAAAATGTGGCTAGGGAGAATATTTACAGAGCAAAGGACGTTTGCCCCTCCGAAATTTAATATATCAATTAGAAAAATATCATGGAAAAACTGTATAAAATATTAAAAAGCGAGAGAAATTCAGCGAACATATCGGATATTGTGACTTTGTTTTGTATACAAAATTATATTGATGTTATCAAAGTCTCATTGACTCATGTTCAATGACAAAAATAATAAGAAAAATATAAAGGTACTTACCGAACTTTGTAATCCCATTTCCATATAATTATTGATATTCTTTGATGACAATAGTTGCTAAATACAATGCTCTTGATCTAGATTCAATACTTGTTCTTTCGGAGTAGAATGTCAGAGGATTTATCTAGAACAATAAATTATTTTTATTAGCCACCGACCATTCGGAATCTGAGAAAATATAAAGATACTTACTTAACATGTCATTTAATCAGAACCTTAACGGTCTACATAATAATTCAAATAGAGGCCTTCACTAGACTCAAGTCGTATTTTGACATACAAATGGCAATGCAATGCAATCCATGCTCATTGATCATAACAGTTTTTACACCCAAATAAGTTGTTTAACGATTTTGTTCTTGGTCCAATACAAGATCAGGATCTGTCGGAGAATTTATCTGAAAATATATAATAGTTTATGTTTCTATGTAAATATAACATTTTCCCATTGTATTCTGCGATCTGTCTATTCGATAACGATTTTGCCATAAAAAAACAAAATTACAAAAAAAAAAACTATATGTAACTGTTGTTGCCGAAGTTCAAACGTAATTAAAAAATAAATTTTAAATAAGTAATACTGTAGCGTATCGGGTTTTTGGAGATATATTCTCTCAAGCTTGTACAATCAAATGTAGTTCGGAAAACGGTCTCAGAATAGGAATTTTACATGATCTCTTATGCAAAATTTGTCATGACATAAATAAGGTCAAATTACCTTTACGACAAAACCTCATGCCTATGCCTCAATTCTCGACGTCCGAAGATAGGGAATATCGGGGCATCCGTTCTAGTGTCTTCCCTTATCAACATTTTGTGACAAATGTTTCTAACGAAGTGCCCGCTACTTGGTATGCGGAGAGGGAATACAAAATAAATAAATAATATTTTATATGGAAATTGTGAATACTGTATAATTTGTTGTACTATAATTCCGAATTCCACTTATATTCTTACATCTAATATGAAGTTTATTACCATTTAGTACCCTTCATACACATAAGCACTAATTTCAAAAATCTCTTTCTTTTCTTCCATTATACAGATTCAAAATTGATCAGAATTCCAATTGTATATATTTTAGCAAATACCTACAGGTTTTACATTTAGGTCCATTCAGCACATATTTCTAATTTCACCAGTACTAATTAATACCAAATTTCAGTTTCCCAGTTCTCTCCGTTACTCAAATTCTATTCGTACACATAAATTCCAATTTCCAAACCTATCTGCATAGCGCAGTCTTACACTTCAACAGTAATCTAAATTCCAAATCTCAGGATTTCATCCAAATCCAAATTATACAAAATGTATTATCAATTACTACTTTCCATACACATAATTAAGAATTTCTACATCAATCCTACACTCTAACAGTAATATTAATTCCAACAAAGTCCAAGTTGTATCAAATTTAGTACTTTTTCGTATTCATATTTACGAAATCATAAAAATACCTCAATCTTGCATTCAAATGGTAATCGAAAGTCCAAATTTAAGAATTTCACCTCTATATGTTCATCGAAATAAAATTTGTACCAGATTTGGTACACATTGTATTTTTCGTACCCATATTCCAAAACTATCAAGTTCGACCATAAGGAAGAAGTATCGAACCGCTTCTACTGGTAACTTTGCAAAACTTAATATGTTTACCAAAACTATATCATGAACGAAGGAGAGGCCTATCGGTCCACTCATTCTGGTACCACTCCAACAAAGAGTAAATATTTTAAAAGTAAAGAGTAAATATTTTAAAAGTAAAGAGTAAATATTATAGCGAGCGGAGAATACGATTTGATCCAAATATTGTACAAAAGGTTGTTTTGTATATCTTATTCCCAAGGTGGGATATATGGGCCCACTTCTTCTGGTATCACCCTAAGAGAAGAACAAAAGTTAATTGAGAATTCGAATTGACCTCCTCATCAAGTGAAGCGTCCCGGGCATCATAACGTTCCTGCCCACATAAATATTTTCTCACAAATTACTTTTAAATATTGACAGATGGCAATTTCTGTGGCATCGTAACATCATACCACGAGAGGAAACATTTTGGAAATAAATTATACTTCTTTAGAAATGGACATAGTTCGGTAATAGTTCATTAAAAATGTGGCCACGACAAACAAGACATATTTATAATTTCCTTCCGATTCTATTTATAAGGAGAATCACCAGTAGCTGGTGTTCAATGTGTTCAAACTTAAAAATTGAAAGGTTCTTACCAATCTTTGGAAAAGCATTTCCTTGAAAGCGTTTTAAATTGGACTTCAGCGCCTGATTCCCGGATTCCCATATCAATGTGAACATTGGAGAGTAAAAATGAAACATTTGAGTTATGTACGTACCTCGGGAAGTATAGACTTTCGTAAGCATCAACATATCGTTATAACTACAGGTGTATTCATTCATTTCAAATAGCTTCCAGTTCTACGACTCAAATTCTATTCGGCCAAGGCTTAAGGGTTTCTTTTTCTATGTTACGAATACGTTGTTTTCAATTAAAAGTATCAATAATACAATTTCGATATTGAATTTCCGCATTAATTTCAATTTAATCCACAAAAAAGAAACTAATTTTAAAATTCCAATTCAATTCCTTCAATTTTAAAAACGAATAAAAACGAAAATATACGAAAACGTTTGCTAAACGAAAGGACAAAATAAAAATAAATATGAAAAGGGAACTAAACAATAATTTCGATAAAAATATCGATTAGTACCAAAATCGACTTACTTAACCCTACTCAGTTGTTGTTGTTTTCTTCATCAGACAAATAATTTGCGAAAACAAAATAAACTTTTGTTGTCATTTGTTTATAAACCACGAAAGAGAGTGGACGTACGGACGGTATAACGACGCGAGTGAAAATTAGCTACAACAACAACTACTTAAATAAACAAAACAAAAAGTAAATGAAATTAAATTACTTGCAAAACAAATTGTTTTATAGAGTTGTTATGAATTAAAACAACAACAATAAGAAATGTAAAACGAAATATCCAAGTGAAAGAGAAGAATAGAATTGTAAACAAACAAAACGAAACAAGAAAAAAATCGAAACGCTCGTTCAGTCAGTGAAAAAAAGTGGTAATTCGGTCGGTCTGCCTTATAATTTTGCATTGCCTTGTTTGAGTGTGTGTGTTGTTGGTAGTTTGATTACATTTATTGTTCGTTCGGTCGGTTCGTCGTCGCATGAGAGGGGTTGCAGCGCCGTCGTTAAAGTATTGTGGGGGGAGTTTTTTTGTTGTTTTTTGTTTCTGTGGTGGAGTTCGAGTTCATGTGAATGTGACATTTATAATATAAATCAAGAAAATAGAATTCAGATTTTGGTTCGTTCGGTTTTGCTGGCTGTTTTGGTGATTTCGTCGTGCTTCAGTTTGCTTTGGTTTGTTTATTCACTGTGTCTAATCAAGGCTTTGCTGTTTGTTTGGATGCCGCCGCTGTCGCCGTTGCTGCAGCAGCAGATGTTGTTTAGCGGTCGCTGCTTCCATTACTAGTGGTTGTTGTTGTGTGGCGCTGCTGCACTACGATTTTAAAGGTGGAAAATAGACAGACAGACTGGCAGTCCGGCAGATAGAGGTGGCTAGTGGCTGAAGTCTTGCCTTTAATTGATGCTGTGTGGCGTTATGTTGTTGGAACCACGGATTTAAGATCTGACAACAGATGCCGTCATGATTGGACGCACCTTAGTGCTATTGTGATTATTGTGTAGATTAAAGGCTTCAGTGAAAATTTGGTTTGCTACTCCAGCCAGCCAATCTATAGGTGGCAATCATCCGGCAAGTTTTGGGCAAAGAGGCCATAATTTGTGGGCGATAGCAAATGTAAATGGCGGAGCCGTGGTAACTAA